CTAACTGAAAGTGTCATGGTTCACACCCACCCAGGCGATGTGCGGAAGAAAAGCCGAGTGATCTGCTGTAGAGAGTGCAGCCTAGAAAACCCGATGAGGCAGCTCTTTGCCACCTGGGCTTTCTGTGAGTCAAACACCAGTTGATGGCACCTAACAACAACAACAAAAGCTGTTGGTGGTCGTCTCTGAACTGTCATTCTCACGCGAGGTTGGGAAGTATCAGCACCGGATGTAGAATGTCCATAGCTGCGTTTTCTTGGAGCTTCCATCTGGCAGCCTCACACCTACATTTGCTTGGAAATGCTGGGTGGGATGGCATGTGGGAGAAGATATTATGCACCCAGGTGACCACCCAGGATTAATCAAAGGGATATCATGGCCAATAAAGCAATAGAATCAATTATGTTGCCAATACTGCTGGATTCCTCAAAGAGGGAAGAAGGCAAAACAATATGAATCCGCTTATCAATAGAGGCCCTTCAACAGGACATCCATCTTCCAGAGATTACTATGCCCATTGTTTGTGGATTTCTAAGTCCAGCTTTTCCTGGGAAAGTGCCGAGAGCGTTTATCAGATTCTCAGTGTCGATGTGAATCAATATTGCCCCCAAATAACTGTTTCTATGCTCCCAAACAGAGAGAGGAGATAGATGAGAGGCAACAGAATTAGAATTCCTGTTTCTGAGGAATTTCATTCTATTTCTCTTCTGGTATGTGAAGTTTCTGGGTCAGAACACTCTTGGTTATAGATAGGATTATCATTCCAAAGTAAAAGTCGTCCTTTGACCATGGACCCTTTAACCACTTAGATCAAACCCACTGACATCAGGCCAATTTCTATTCATAGTTACTCGATAGATAGTGCTTCCAAGACTGTAAATCTTTATAGGACTGGAGAACTTCACCTGGTTCCATGGAGTACCTGGTAAGTTTGAACTAACAATCTTTTGGTGAAGCATTCCAATACCTAATCCACAGTGCCACTGTTTGCTGCAGTCACATTGCGCTCTTTAATTCAATTAGGCCTCCAATCTTGTACATCCTCAATTGCTTCCCCCTTTTAGGCTTTGATTTTATTTTGATGGCAACCTGAACTTTGAAGATGTTAGTTTCCCTCCATTCTGTTTTATTGTTCTAAAAATATAGATAACACAACTTCGATGACTCACTCTTTTTCAAGTGGACAATCAGCTGCTAACTGAAAGGTTGGTGGTTCAAACCCATTCACTGGTTTCAAGGGAGGAAAAACCTAGTAATCGGTTTCTGTAAAGATTAAAGCCAAGAAAACTCTTCTGCACCCATGAGTTATAATCGATTAATGGTACCCAAC